TCGGGAAGGGAAACTGCAGCTCATGCACGACCACTTTCCGTTATTCTTTTTATGAATTTTGAGAAACAAGTATTTTTTAAATTCCACTTCATCAATTTTGGACTATTTTGTGTATGACCTTTTACCTGAAATCCAAATAAAAATCAAATTTAAATTGCGGGTTTTGTTGTAATGCAACAAAATAGGAAAAACGCCAAGGGAGATAAATTTATTTTGCAAGGCACTGTATTTTACAGTAGGAAACGGTACAGAGTCAATGTGCGGGGGCCCCGGTTAGTCGAGGTAATTTAGGTAATATGTACATGTAGGTAGAGTTATTAAAGTGACTATGCATAGATAATAAACAGAGAGTAGCAGCAGCGAAAAAAAGGGGGGGGGGGGACAATGCAAATAGTGTGGGTAGCCATTTGATTAGATGTTCAGGAGTCTTATGGCTTGGGGGTATATAAAAGTGTTTAGAAGCCTCTTGGACCTAGACTTGGCGCTCCGGTACCGCTTGCCATGCGGTAGCATTGAGAACAGTCTATGACTAGGGTGGCTGGAGTCTTTGACAATTTTTAGGGCCTTCCTCTGACACCGCCTGGTATAGAGGTCCTGGATGGCAGGAAGCTTGGACCCAGTGATGGTACTGGGCCGTACGCACTACCCTCTGTAGTGCCTTGCGGTCAAGAGGCCGAGCAGTTGCAATACCAGGTAGTGATGCAACCAGTCAGGATGCTCTCGATGGTGCAGCTGTAGAACCTTTTGAGGATTTGAGGACCCATGCCAAATCTTTTCAGTTCCTTAGGGGGAATAGGTTTTGTCGTGCCCTCTTCACGACTTTCTTGGTGTGTTTGGACCATGTTTGTTTGTTGGTGATGTGGACACCAAGGAAACTTGAAGCTCTCAACCTGCTCCACTACAGCCCCATCGATGAGAATGGGGGCGTCCCTCTGTCCTCTTCTTTTTCCGGTAGTCCACAATTATTCCTTGTCTTGATCACGTTGAGGGAGAGGTTGTTGTCCTGGTACCACACGGCCAGGTCTCTGACCTCCTCCCTATAGGCTGTCTTGTCGTTGTAGGTGATCAGGCCTACCACTGTTGTGTCATCGGCAAACTTAATGATGGTGTTGGAGTCGTGCCTGGCCATGCAGTCATGAGTGAACAGGGAGTACAGGAGGGGACTGAGCACGCAACCCTGAGGGGCCCCCGTGTTGAGGATCAGCGTGGCAGATGTGTTTGTTACCTACCCTTACCACCTGGGGGCGGCCCATTAGGAAGTCCAGGAGCCAGTTGCAGAGGGAGGTGTTTAATCCCAGGGTCCTTAGCTTAGTGATGAGCTTTGTGGGCACTATGGTGTTGAACGCTGAGCTGTAGTCAATGAATAGCATTCTCACATAGGTGTTCCTTTTGTCCAGGTGTGAAAGGGCAGTGTGGAGCGCAATAGAGATTAAATAATCTGTGGATCTCTTGGGGCGGTATGCAAATTGGAGTGGGTCTAGGGTTTCTGGGGATAATGGTGTTGATGTGAGCCATGACCAGCCTTTCAAAGCACTTCATGGCTACAGACGTGAGTGCTACGGGTTGGTAGTCATTTAGGCAGGTTACTTTAGTGTTCTTGGGCACAGGGAGGTGGTCTGCTTGAAACATGTTGGTATTACAGACTCAAACAGGGAGAGGTTGAAAATGTCAGTGAAGACACTTGCCAGTTGGTCAGCGCATGCTCGGAGTACACGTCCTGGTAATCCGTCTGGCCCTGAGGCCTTGTGAATGTTGACCTGTTTAAAGGTCTTACTCACATCGGCTACG